TTAGTCGAACTTTTTCCACGATGGAATTTTGTTTTGAGTCGTTTCGACATAAACAGTCGCTATCAAGACATTACACGAAAAACCGCAGTCACCGTTCTAGCTCTCGTTGTAAGGTCAAAGCTAGTAAATGTGTAACCGACCTGTTACATAACGTCAACTCGTTGTGTCGTCGAGCATGCTTGCGGGTTATTGCCAAAAATGCGACAAAGGATGAACTACGACAGTTGTTTGTATGAAACATAACAAACGCTTTAACTCTATTGGAATACATGGAGCTAAGCTGCTCTAGCTCTTTCAGTGATGTTGTAGATACCTCAAAGCTTTGAGGAAACAAGAGCTAAGAAAAAGGATTTGCAATGGTTCCTCCATAAGATACTTTGGACTTGAACGTCGCTTCAACGACCTTCTGAAGTCTTCGTGAAGTCGGCCATTGCTTCGCATGCAATGGAGAACCCGCGTAGAACACAGACTAATTATTTTTAGCAGGGAGGGGAGTCCCTTGGTATTAAAGAAAAAATTCTTTGCTATTTCATTTTTAAGATAAAATTCTATTTCTATAACGATAAATATTTGATTGACATTTAATAAAAGCTATTTTATAAAGATTTTCAATTTGTCTTTGCGTTTTAGCTTTGATTTTTCGGATAGAATAAAATGGCAGGCAGCCTACTCCACTGGGTCGAGTTTTGTTGTGCAAATTCCTCCCGTCGGGGGGCTATGTTTACAACATAAGCTTGTCAGCTTTGCGCTGATTGGCTAGTCGCATTTTCTCAAATCACCCAGATGTGAAGCGCCTTTGAACTGTAAGGATATCGGCGCTATATAAATAATATTATCATTAAAATGCTTAGGTTCCCGAGATATTCAGTTTTATTTTTAACTTAAGCTTAAAAGTTCGTATTGTGTCACGAAATAGCGGTTTCGCATCTGAATCGACAATTTCCAAGATGGTCGCCTACCCGTCAAATGCCCGCCCGTCTGCTCCTAATCAGAGTCAAATCCCCCACTGTACGGAGGTAGAGTCGAGTCAAATGCCCTGGGTTTGCCCGGGGGGGGGGGGGGGGGATGGGCACCTTTGGAATTGACTCATACATTATCAGTCTTTGAAATTATCGTCCTCGGACTTAAAGCTATTTAAATTCTTTTGATTTACAAGCCTATCGTAAAGGAGATATATCAATAAAAATGAATTTGTTAGATATGTCTGTTGTCCTATTGCAAAAGAACGAATGTTGTGACTGTCTATTCATAGTATATAATTCATCAAACCCCATTATCCGTCCATTATTGATAGTTTCATATAGTATAGATAGTAGAACGATCTGATTGGTTCAGAGCGTGATTTGTTTAGCCGTTAAAAATGAGCGTAAAAGCACAAGTGATGCAATAATTTTTAAAAATAACACAACATAACGAGTATTACATCTCGCACAATAAACTTGTAAACTATGCGTGATCGTAGAGCCAAAGGAATTGGATCCTTTCTTGAAAATAAAAAAAAAACTAGCTTAATATTGATACCTTTACAGAAACGCTTAGATCCTTAGATAAAAGACGTAATTTGCGTTGAGCAAAAGTTTGAGAAAAAAAAAATTGAGAAAATTTTCCAACATAAGGCAGTTTAAAAATTTTTATATCATCAGGAACCGTTGAAGTACTAGATGTGTGGTTTTGAGGTCTAGACAACTTATTAATACAGTCTGAGATCACCTTATCAATAAGATAAGAGGGGAACAAATTACGTTGTAGAATAGTTTTAATGTCATTAACATCCTTTTTGAAAGCATTATTAGTATTAAAATTTTAGCCGTTAAATGCACGATCGCGAGTATGACTAAAAAGCAATAAATGATGGACTGCCGTAAAAGACTATCCGTAATATAAAGCACTTGGGATGTTGTGAAAACACTAAAAACGCCAAACTTTTTAGGCCCAACATCTGCACGTCTTGCTTTATTTCACTGATAATTAAACACACAGTAATCCAATCTTTATTGCTCAAACAGCATACATGCACTTCCATAAGTATTCAGAACTTAGTAGACATATTGCTCGCATGTCCCATACCTTGTGGCTACCGTGAAGCTGTCGCTCCAGGCCCGGTCAGTGATTCGCGGGTGGCTACAAGCTACCCCCTATTAGGGCTACAAATATAGAACATGATAAGTTAGATGAGTTAAGAAAATTGCACCTGGATGGAACTCATTTTTACCCTGGTCCCAGAGGTTTGATATTTTCGATTCTCTCTTCGCTACTTCCTCGATTACGGCGCTTCGCGCCGACAAAAACAATAGCGAAGAGAGAAAATTTCAAACCTCTTGGACCAGGTTAACTCATTTTCAAAAACAACTAAAAGAACAATTCATCTGCAAATAGAGAAAATCTCATTTTCCACAGACAATCCTAATTTTAGCATTTGTAATGTTCTGGATCGATCCGCCTTTGAAGTGTGTTTGTATGTGATTACGAACTAGCTTGACTATTATACGAACGCGATGATGAAAATAATGTTAATATCTTTAATATCACAGAGGAAGACTTAAACTTGTTTGAAGGAGACATTGTGTTGTCTCCTCACGACCGCGTCGACCAACGTGACACAGGAGACGTAGACGGACCACTTGATTCTAGTCAGCGCAAGCGAAACGCTGAGCGATCAAGACTGGGTATTTGGAAGAATAAAGTTATTCCTTACGAAATCTTGCATCGTAAGTATCGAATCTTCATGAAAATCAATGGTTAGAAAATCAAGTTAGTCAATAGAAAGCGACGCTAAATTTGAACGGATTGCGATAAAAGTATATACGATGAACGAACAAAACCGTCACATGGGACAATTCTAGCCGATTGTTTTCGGTATAGTTTTGAGATATTTTTAATTTAAGAATTCGAAGTGCTAAGACACTCGCAGTATACTTAACTTAGCAGATTCTGAGATCGGAGCCCATTGGTGCCATTTTCGAATTCTTTTCAAAAATCTTTCGCGCGCCCAACCCAAGCGCCGCAGTCCACTTTCGTCCGGATGTTACCTGTAAATCTTGTTGTCATGGATATCATTTCTTGGTCTATCCTTTGGTTAAGTTCATTTTATTTTTGCAGCTGCTGAGAAGCTCAAGGACATCTCGACTGCTATAACTGAGGCCATTGAAGAATTTCACAAACATACTTGTCTACGATTCGTACAGCGCACCAATGAAGACAACTGGATCAAATTTGTCGACAAACCAGGGTATTTGCTTCATTACTATTATCTTTTATTTATTCATTTTCTTTGTATTTTATTAATTTACGGGCCTGATCCAAATTTCAAAAATACCGCCGATAAACAAAATTCCGTCTCTTGCCTCTTCTGTCAGTTTTGAGTGAAAACAACCACGGAAATGCCTAGCTTGATATAGAAGTGGTAAGGTCCAAGGCACCATATGCATTTGGTCCAGCCACAGGTAGCCCAAGCAATGAATTCGAATCTATAATAGTTAAAAATAATATTTTACTTAAAAAATGGTCTACTTAAGCAATAAACGATACCTTGGATCGGTTTACTGGTGAAATAAACCTCGCGAAATGGTTGGGAGAACACGAGAAAAGATCTGCAAATGGCCCTCCCAACCATCCCAAGCGGATAATTTTCGGGCAGTAAACACCTTGAAGCTATCATTTATTGCTTTTATATTATAGCTGGCGTCCGCCATTTAGACTAAAAAGCTTTCAAGGCAGTAGGCTGGTTTACCGGCGAAATGAACCATAGCTTTTCTCATGCAATCCGCCAATCAGTGCGCGTGTTAGAATTGAGCTATAATATAAAACACGATCTCGAGTGTTTTAAACGGCTTTAAAAACTCCAACAATAATTTGAAATTCAAATCCATTAAAATTCTTGGAGAAATTGCTATAAAGATATTAAGTTTTGAGATAAATGGGGCAAACTGATCATAAATATTCAGTGTTCACGGATAATCAGGTTGATCCGCACAGAAGACGGCCGAACAACAGAATCTCATAATTATACCAATCAATGGCGGATTGAATCGTGTATTTTTTGTATTCTTGTACAACTCCTCCTATTTAGCATCCCTTTTTGGGATCGGAAGGCCATAAGTTCAAAACCCAATGGAGGATAAATTTGTTAAAACCCATTTATAATGCATTGTGACACTGAATAAAACAAAATTAAACTATACTTTATCAGTTTTTTTGTAAGAAGCGGCATCGAATATTTATAGTGAGGGCACTCTACAAATCTGTTTTATTATGATTATGATTATGATTATTGCGATTGTGATGATGATGATGCCGATGATGACTCGAACTGCAGAAATCAATCCAAAATGTTAAAATTGTATATGATTTTTCGTTCTCTATTAGCTGTAGTTCGCCAGTAGGTATGCAGTACCAACAAAAGGGTATTGGACAAGAAGTAAAACTTGGTAACGGCTGTCACAATAAAAAGACGGTCATGCACGAGCTTCTTCATGCTATTGGCTTTTGGCACGAGCAATCTAGACCTGATAGGAACCAATATGTGGAGGTCATGTGGGAAAATGTTGTCCCAGGTAAGCAATTTTACATAAAAATGGACGTACTTATAAAAGGCCATATATCCTATATGCTCAATCAAAGGGGAATTTCCACATGATGATGATTAAAGTATATATTTTAAGAAACAACGTTAGGAGAGGAGATTGCAGTGCATTTATGAAAACACCGGAATCTATTGATTTATTTATTTTAAGGAAAGGAAATCAAACTCACATGGTAGATAAATTCTTGTCTGATTTTGCTTTTCTTTAACCAGGAAAAGAACACAACTTTAACAAATACAGTCATGGAAAAATTGATTCACTGAAGCAGACTTACGATTGGAACAGTTTAATGCACTACGGCAGAAATTATTTTAGTAAAAATGGTAAACCAACCTTGCGGGGCTTAGGATCAAAGAAAGATGCAACACTTGGGAATACCAAAGGTTTTTCAAAGACTGACATCTTTGAAATCAACGCTTTGTACGACTGCAAGGGTACGTTTTTATTGTGAATAACTCTAACAATTACCATTAACCACTGTAATGATGACAATACCTGGCACTCTTGTCACTGTTGCCCTTAGAGCGGATTTCGTATGATTGTTCAACGGCACTGATCACAACACGGGCATGGTCACGGTAGCTCGCCTTCTAGGATTCCAAATGAAAATAAAGATTTAGCAATACATCACCGCTAGGRCAMGGTACGGTCACAGCGCGAAAGAAYCGTGTTTTTTGTACAGTCCACTGGGAAAAATCGCGCGCTTTAAAGGTTGTGAATTTGATGTAAAAGGTGATGTAAGTGTCCAAAATTCTGTAAATTTAATGGAAATCATTTACATCAAATTTACAGAATTTTGGACATTTACATCTGTCATATTTACATCAAATTTACAACCTTTAAAGTGCGCGATTTTTTCCAGTGGTCATACGAAATCCGCTCTACCACTGTGCCGTACTGCCCGTCATTTTCCCACTGTCCCTACTAATATCATGCATACTACGTTYATGTGACAGGCTCGAATGCTGGTTGGAGCAAATGGAGTGACTTTGGTCCTTGTAATGGATTGTGCATAAAAATTCGTGAGCGATTCTGCTCTTCTACTGATAGAACCAATTGCCCCGGGGCAAATGATAATGGCATAGAAACACAGAGAAAGAGTTGTCCTGACAGCGAATGCAATGGTATGGTACTGATAATRTAACGAACTGCGCGAGGTCAGGGAACTTTCAAATGATGAATAACGTTCCGATTTTATGTGAAARTATTTTTTGCTTAGCGCCCCCAAAAAATAAAAACAAAAAAATAAAAGTCGAAACCATGGCATTACATGCATGTATACATTACCAGCACACACCTGAAATATTCGAATACTAATCTTAATTTGAACATGGTTGCTATGCTAGACTATCTGTCTTCAATGGGCAAATTGTGTATTTTTTTTCACTGATCTCTCATATTGAATGTTTTCAGAAGTACATAACCAGAAGTGTCCATCTCCCCGTCGCGCGTTGTGATTGGTTTTCTAAAAATAGATTATCGGGACATCTGATGGTGGGGATATTATTGGGGAGATGGACACTTCTGGTTATGTACTTCTGATGTTTTCTTCTTCTTTTTTTTTCTGTTAGTCCATGTCTTACTCGATATCAATTCATTTTTTAAGCCTGTTTGTGTGTTGCCTTAAATGGTAGATCCTGTATTTGAGTTTTTAATATATTTGTAACTATAGCTCCTGTAGATGG